CTCTGGGACACTCCCAGCTTGTTGGGAAATCCCCCCAACTCCACTCAGCTCTACTCAAAGTCCCCCCATCTGTTTCCTCTCTTCCTCCCCCATCTCTGAGAAAGCAGCCCCACTCCCCCTTCCTGAAGCCATTTGCCTCGGTGACAATGGCTTGGAGCCTGGTGGAGCAGGAGAACTCAGCACTCCAGCCGCCCGCTGCACCTCCAAGTCCCCACACACACTTGCGTTTGCTGCTGGGCTTGGTGCTGGAACATAGCTTTCTGTCACCACTTCCTGGCCGTCACGAGGCTGCCTTAGGAGCGATCAGTGCCAAGCCTGATCGCAAGCTTCCAGGGTTACACCGCCACAGGGCCCCGCTGTCCGCGACTCCCTTCCCCTCCCCGCCAGGCCCAGGGCTGAGGTCCGAGTCATCTTCAGGTGCAAGGCCAGGTGTAAAGGAGCAGGAGGAACATGGTGCTTGGCTTCGGGGGGCTTAAAGTGGGGAGAGAGAGAAAGAGAAAGGAGAGCGGGAAAGCAGATGTTAACCAGTCGCATAAACTAACTGTGTAATATGGCAGAGATCGGGGGTTGCAGGTAAGGGCGGTGTAAACTAACGTGTAATATGGCAGAGATCGGGGTTGCAGGTAAGGGCGTGTAAACTAACGTGCAATATGCAGAGATCGGGGTTGCAGGTAAGGGCGGTGTAAACTAACGTGTAATATGGCAGAGATCGGGGTTGCAGGTAAGGGGGTGTAACTAACGTGAATATGACAGAGATCGGGGTGCAGTAAGCGTGGTGTAAACTAACGTGCAATATGGCAGAGATCGGGGTTGAGGTAAGGGCGGTGTAAACTAACGTGCAATATGGCAGAGATCGGGGTGCAGGTAAGGCGTGTAAACTAACGTGAATATGCAGAGATCGGGGGTTGCAGAAGGGCGGTGTAAAACTAACGTGCAATATGCAGAGATCGGGGTTGCGGTAAGGCGGTGTAAACTAACGTGAATATGACAGAGATCGGGTTGCGGTAAGGGCGGTTGACTAACTGTGAATATGGCAGAGATCGGGGGTTGCAGGTAAGGCGGTGTAAACTAACGTGCAATATGGCAAGAAGATCGAGGGGTTGTAAGGGGCGGTGTAACTAAGCGTAATATGGCAAAGATCGGGGTTGAGGTAAGGCGGTTAACTACGTGAATATGCAGAGATCGGGGGTTGCAGGTAAGGGCGGTGTAAACTAACGTGCAATATGGCAGAGATCGGGGGTTGCAGGTAAGGGCGGTGTAAACTAACGTGTAATATGGCAGAGATCGGGGGTTGCATGTAAGGGCGGTGTAAACTAACGTGTAATATGACAGAGATCGGGGGTTGCAGGTAAGGGCGGTGTAAACTAACGTGTAATATGACAGAGATCGGGGGTTGCAGGTAAGGGCGATGTAAACTAACGTGTAATATGACAGAGATCGGGGGTTGAAGGTAAAGAACCTGGATCCTCTGAGAAGGTGGAAAAGAGACACAGAGCAGGGCTTCCCTGGGCTCTGGGGGTGGAGCCGAGACTCTGAGGATGAGCAGGCGAGGCTGGGTGAAGCGGAGGCTCCCGGGCAGAGGCAGGCGTGTGCAAATGCCATGTGCTGCAGGCGGCAGTGCCCGCGTGGCTGGGGCAGAGGGGGAGTGGGCAGAGGGCCTGTTAGCACCTTTTTCCTGGGAGCGCTGGGAAGCTGTGGGAGAGTTTGGCGCACAAGAGGATGCGACCCATGTTTTTCTGCAGAGGCGCCTGGCTGCTGTGCAGAGAGCAGAGCACAGGGCGCAGGGAGGGGAGGGGTCGTGGCAAGCAGGAAGCACCTTGCAGCCCACCTGGCAAGAGGAGGGCAGGGGGAGGGGAGCAGGGGAAGGGGAGGATCAATTTGAGAGACAAGCAAGGAGTGAAACAGATTCAGACAGATTCAACGCGGGGTGAGGGAAGGGAAGGGGTCGTTGCGGATGACCAGTTTTCGTTTTGCGGAGCCGGGCCCTGATGGTGCCACCTGAGTCACTGAACGCGAGCCCTCCCTCTCAACACACTTTCAGGTGTGCAGGACGGGCTGTTAAGCAGAGGCGCCCTGCTGTACGGCACACCTCTGGAACGCGTTCATCTCACATAACTGAAACTTTACCACATCTTAATTTACAAATTTTATTTAAAAGCCACTGTATTTCCTAAGATATTAGAAGAAACAAAACAAAATGGCCCCAGCCATATGAACCAGAGAGAGCATGAAGAGCCACCTGGATGAGATGCATGGCCCTGCAAGGCCCACTTCTGGGGGGGGGGTGTGGGGTGGAGAGGAAGTCACCCCACGGTGGGGAGGGCAGAGTGGGGCAAGAAGAGGGGAGATGGGGGCTCCAACTTCTTCCCTCAGCAGGGAGCCCTCTGCCCTTTTCCCTCTTCCCTCTTCTGGAATGTTCTGCCCCAGACCTTGACTTGGCTGCCCCTCTTCATCCGGGTCTCAGTGCAAATGTCCCCTCCCAGAGAGGCCTCCTGGGACCACGCTGGTGACCACCACGTCTCTGTGCCCTGTGCCTGGCCCTGTCTCCTGACCTCACAGCCCTGCTCACCTGCCCACACCATCTCATTCGTGTGATGGCGACCTTGCTCCTGGCCTGTCTGGTCCTAGCAGGGCGCAGCTCGGGAATGCAGGGACTTTTGTGTTTTGTTCTCGTCCTTCTTTCTTCTCCCCGGGGCCCAGCACGGTGCTGAGGAAGTGCTCGGGAGCTGTTTGCAGAGCGAAGGAGTGGAAGAACGTTGTCTTTCACAGGCCTCATGGGACACGCTGTCTGTGAGCCGCCGTGCCCGTCCCACGGGGCTTCGGGCCTCGTCCCCTGGCCACCCCTGTCTCCGCCCGCCCTAGCAGGCACACCTCGCTCTCCCGCAGCTGTCTTGCCTCCCTGCGGCCACCCCCACCCCACCCCCGCCCGGCCTGTCTCTTCTCTCTCCTGGAGCCGGCCTCACCCGCTCCGCCCAGTGTTGGGGCGAGCCCAAAGCAGCTGCTCCAGCCTTGACGGTGGGCCACTCTCTCCCCAGGGGGTGGCAGTTCCTGCTGGCACAACCCACGGGGCTCTTCTTTTCCTGGAGAATGGGCACCCGGGCAGTGTTTGGCAGCCCTCCCCAGAATTATTTACTCGTGGTTCTTACCTAACTTTTGTGAGGTTCTCGCTCAGATTCTGAGCAAAATTAGGTGGAAATTGTGCATGCGTGGATTAGTCTGGGTCTTACGGGGGGGGGGAGGCTCTAGTAATCACAATAATGCCACAGGTGTGACCCTGAACTTGGTCGCCAAAATGTTGCATTTCCTTGTTTGAAGTCCGACATCTATGTCCCACCTGAAAGAGTCTATTTGTGGGTTTACCTGTTCAAGTATAACGCTATTTTTACTGAGGATTTGGGAATTCCTGCATTGTGGCTGTAGCCTGAAATCCTCTCTCCCTGTGACAAGGACGATAACAATATCTGCATTTTACTGAATACCCACTGTCTTAGTTCAGGCCGCTATTGCAAAGCGCCACTAACTGTGTGGCTTATGAACAATAGGCGTTTGTCTCTCGGGGTTATGAGGTCTGGAAGTCTGAGCTCAGGGAGCCGGCGTGGTCGGGTCAGGTGAGGGCTGTCTTCCAGGCAGAGAGAATATGGCCGAGGAGGGAAGGCGGGTGGAAAGGGGCAAGGGCGTGTGAGGGTCTGCAAGGAGTTGGGTGGGGAGGGAGCACACGTGCTGCCAGGAGGGAGGGGCAGGAGCCGAGTTCTCATGAGCTGAGCTGGGGAGCTGAGACTTCCCAACAGGACAGTGTGGAAGGATTTTACAAAGGCTCGCTGAGATTTTGCATTTGGGAAAAAAGTTTACCTTGGTGCAGGATGTAGCATGGATGTAGGAGAGCAAGACAGAGGGAGGAGTTGAGTTAGGGTGCTGTTAAAGGAATCAGAGAGACGACTGCACAGCCCAGCTCCCCCTCGGGGCCGGTGCCTCCCGCAGAGGCATCCAGAGAGCTGTGTGGGGTGGGGATTGTGGGTGTGACCTCTGGACCCGCTGGGATTCAATCTCGGCTTGATGCTATCCTAGCTTGGCGTCCCTGCGCCTCACTTATCTCACCTGTAAAATGGGAATGATGGTAACAAGAGGACCTCCAAATGGGGTTTTTGGAAAGGATTAAATGACAGAGTACACGAAGAGCTTAGATCAGTTCTTGGCACATAGCGAGCACCCAAGAAGTTGTCGTCATTTTCAACCCCTTCCCTTCCTGCTCTTCTAGCCCCGCTCCAGCATGTCTCTGCCAGAGGCCCCTTATCCCCTCTCCTCCTCGCTCCCTTCTGGTAGCCCCACATCGCCATGGCACCCAGTTGGTGCTGCCCAGCAGTGGCAGCAGGTACACCCCAAGGCAGTCCCCTTGCAGGCATTGAATATCAGACACGTGGGGGGCTCCGGGTGGTAGTGTCCCAGCGCCCTCTGACCTCTGAGCACTAGGGCAGTGACAAAGCAATGGGTCAGAAGCCAGGAGGTGGGGGCCGTGGGGACTGTGACAATGCTGCAGGGATTGCAGGAGGAATGAAATGTCTCTGCTCTACCCAGACCCAGCATCCTCCTCCTCCTCTTTTCCTTTAAGGGCCGTGCAAGCGAGGGCAAGCAGAAAGCCGAGATCACGGCCAGTCTGGCGGGCAGCCAAGTGGAAGAGATCGAAGAGCTCGAGAGGCAGAAGAGGCCGGCCCAGGAGGAGGGAGGAGGGAGGCCAGGGAGGTCCTGAGGGGGCTGAGCTGCCCCTCTTCTGGTGCCCACTCTTGTTAATTCACGGAGACAGTGACAAGCTGACCCTGGAGCAGCTTCCAGGCTCAGTCTGGACCAGTGATTCATTCTGGAAGCTTCCTTCTCCATCTCTCTCTTTCGGTCTCAATGCTTGGCTTGTGGGAATGGAAAGGGTCAGGAGCTGCTGGTCTCTGCCCCGCCAGCAACTCAGTGCAGGGTCATCAGCTCCTACAGGGCTCCTGGGGAACGAAGCACGAAACCCGCCCTGTCCCTTTTCACCCAGGCAGCACCGGGGGAGGGAGGACGTGTGGCAATGGGAGATGGCATGCATTTTACAGGAATAAGTTAGTGGAAATCGTTTTCGAATTCTTGGTGGGGCAGAATGACGACACAGCAGACACTGTTAAATATTATAGAATATGATTCAACATTACATCGCGATTCCTTTAGGCCTCAGGTTAGACCAAATTCTCCTGATCAGAAGAGCTACCAGGGCATCACACAGTCTAGCGAGCCCAAAACTTGGATGCGGGCCCTGCTCTCTGATCCGCGGGCATGAGAGGAGTCGCGGCAGGTGGTGCCCCATGGCAGAGGCGTGGCGTCTGGCCTGGGCCGCACTCCCCGACCAGGTGCAGCCACAGCTCAGGCCTCCACGGGACAATGGGCTTTGGCAAAAGCCTCCAATGCCCTGCCTCCCCACACTCCCAGTGGGGATGACTGGTGCTTGGAGATTGTTCCTTATTTTTCTCTGCTGAGAAACTATCTCGAGGGGGCAGGGAATGGGGGCGGGTAGAGCCGGACTCTGCAGAATGAGCCCAGAACTTGGGCTCCTTCTGGAGTCATGGTTGTCCCCAAACTTCCTTTCGCTAAGCATCCCCGGGGCTAGCGCTCCCATGGGCCCCCCTCCTAAGCTGCGCCCAGACTCCAGGCTCTCGGGCAGAGGAAGTGAGCTGCAGGGAGCGTGGGCTCCCAGAGAGCCAGCTAGGAGTGCACCCCCCTTTGCTCCCACCTAAGAAAGCATCGAGGACTGCGAGAGTGACATCATAGCGCCGACTTCAACTCTGCATTCGTGTCAGAAGAAAGGAGAATGATCTGCAAGCTCTGTCACTGAGGAACTAGAACTGCAATGAGTGACCTAGCACTTGTGACGCCCCCAAGGTTTGTTCCTGCTGCCTCCAATGCTCTTCCTTTCCTCTTTGCTAACTCTCATCGTTTCCTCTTGTCCTCAGCTTAGATGGCATGGCCTCCAGGGATCTCTCTCTCCTGTCCCAAGTCTGGGGTAGTCACCTCCTGTGTCCCCCCACCACCACGTCTCCCCCACCAAGAACTCAGAACAGGGTATTCTAACTGCCAGAGGCTGGGCCGTGTCTCTCGCTCTGGAAAGCAAGACGAGAGGAGGACACTCCCAATCCAGAGCCTGGCCCCGAGCAGGGCACTCGATCCATACTTGCTTGTTTGGTGAATGGGGACAGGAATAACAGAAGTTGGGATTTTCTAAAGTGAATTCCATCTCTAGAAATCTACAGATCATTAGCATGTGGAATTTGGTCCTCTCAGTGTTGCTCTTGATGGAGGTGAAGGGGAGAACAACTCAGAATCCGTGTGTAGCTTCTTCCTATCGTGCTAGACCCGGGTGGAGGCAGGGGTAGGAGGAAAGAAGTTAGGGCAACATGCATGTGTCCTTGGCTAACTGCCAAGTTCAGAGAGGAAAGCAGTCAATGAGAAGGGGCCAGGAGTCAGGGGGAAACAGTGACACCCCCCCAGCCTACCCCACTGCCTTTGGCGTAAATATTATATGATTGGGAATTACACCTCCGAGAAGGGCTAACTCCCAGAGCCACGTCCAGGGACACGTGCCATCCTGGAGAGTGTTGTTCCTGGGCCTCCCTTTACTGTTCAGTCTTTGGAATGTTTGATACTTGTGACGTGTCTGGTCTCTTGAAATGCAAGTCAGTGTGTCACTCACCACCGGAGCTGGGGCTGTCCAACCCAACGGGTCAGAACTCAGCCTTCCCTCCCTTCTCTGCAAAGGCCTTCTACGGGTCAGTTTTGGTTCCAGAAGAATGCGAATGAGGATTCAGCTCAGGCACTCAGATGTGTAAACGTGAGGTTCTCCTTGGGGCAGAGCCCACCCCCAAGGAATTTCCCAGCATGCACTGCACTTGGCGGAGAGTTAGATGAGTGATGCAGGAGCTGGGACGCGAGCAGCAGGAGGGATGGCTGCAGCCGGGACCCAACAAAGCCTCAGCAGGAACAGAGAGGCCAAGCGAGACACATCCAGCAGCGTTCCCGTGTGGGGTGCAGCGCTGGGCTCCATTTCTCCCCACAGGGCCAGGAGACAGCTTGCCTGGATCAGTTTGAGGGCACCCCCATGGAGGGGAAGGGGATGGTGGATGTTGTTGGTCATCAGATCTTCTTTTCCCGGTCGAGGTGGCAGGGTGACGGGGAAACCGCCCTCAGCGATTCAGGAAGAAGGACTTGAGGCTCTGGAAGTAGCTTGACTTCTGTCTCTGCTTCTGTTTCTTCTTGATGATGGGCACCCACACCAGCCCGCACACCAGCATCATGAGTCCCAGGGACAGGAACGCAGGCCCGATCATCTTGAGGGCCGCAAAGCTCTTCTTGCCCAGGCTCAAGGTGTAGGCCAAGCAGGTGATGACCACGCCGAAGAGCAGGATGGCGCCGCCCACGGACATGATGACGATGGGCTTGCGGTAGATCTCCCAGTTGCTCCTGGGGGCGGTGGTCCAGACAGACTCACTTCTGGAGCTGATGCACAGGGAGCTGGCGGTCTGGCTGGGCAGCAGGTCCTTGGCTTCCGGACACTTCTCATCGACCTCCAGGGCCTTGGGGAGAGCCTCCATCGTCACAGCTGCTCAGCACCGCGTACCTGTTACTGGCGACAGTTAGAAACAACAGTGAAGCCGAGGGCACCCCACACCCCCTTTCTGCTCTCAGCATCCACCCCCAGCCCAGCTCTTGCCGAAGGGGAAACAGCGTTTGTGTGCTGAAGCCAAAAGGAAAATCCATGAATGAAATCCACATAAATGAGAAACCACCCAAGCTGGTAGAGAGTATCTTTTCTTGTGAGAGATAAATATTATATCATTTTAAACGACTTGCTTTTAATATTTAAAACAGGGAATGTTGATGCCATTTCAAACACAAACAAACAAACAAAAGGTACAGTGCATTGCGTGGCATCTTATTTTCAGAGATAACCACTTTCTAGCTGTGTGATCTTGAGGGAGTTACTTAACCTCTCTGTGCCTCAGTTTTCTTATCTGTAAAATAGGATAACATACTACTTCTCTCCTAGGGCTTTTCAAAGGGGTTAAATGAGTTAAGGCGTATAATGCAGTTGAAGAAATGCCTAGCATGCAGCAAGCTCTCTCTAAATGGTATCATTTGCCTACTGGAAGAGTGGTACTTTATGTATAAATGTTTGCACACCAGTGTGTGTGTGTGTGCATGTGCGTGCGTGTGCACGTGCTGTGCCAGGCCCTGCACAAACACTCCTTTATCAAATTGCAACCGCACACTAACCTTGTGAATTAAGCATTAGTCCTATTTTACAGATGAGACAGTGAAGACTCAGAGAGGTGAAGCGACTTATTTAAGATCACAGGATAAGGCACGGCCACAGCCGGGATTTGTGTCCGGTCTGCGCGTGCCGGGCCAGGTGTGGGCTGGAGGAGGCCATTCAGTGCAGCCTGGCATTTCACGTGCTCTGTCAGCACGGGACAGTGGCGACTCAGGTTCAGAGTGTGACTTTCGAGGACCTAAATGCCACCTCCCCCACCCCCCTTGTTAATTACATCCAGGTGGATTTCCACCTTCCCATTCCTAGGTCCGGGAAGGTGTGGAGTCTCCCCCAACTGCCGATTCCTGTGTCTCATCTAGAGCCCATCCACGAACCTCTCAGTCACTGGGGCTCCCTCCTATGCTGGGGGGGGGGGACAGGTGGTCACCTGTGCGGAGCGATCTCAGAAATGTGGAGACGTACTGCTTGCCCGCCAAACACGTCTCCACCAGAGCAGTGGAGCACGTAGCACATAGCAGTGCTTTCTCGAATTCATTTAATGTGGGGTTAAAGTCTTCCATGCTGTGACTGTAAGTGTGAGTTCAAGCGCAAATGTCTCCGCATTTGCAGTAAGGTAATGCTGATGCTAGCCACTTCGCTGAGCATGGGTTGTGTTTGAGAGGAAGGGGAGGCCAAGAGAGCCCAAGGCCCCCTGCTTGGAAGGTGTTCACATCACTGCCCGGGTTCGTCGTGGAGGTGTCTCCAAAGTGTCTGGTGCAGTGCTTTGTGCCCAGGAGATTCTGCATCTGTTTAATTAAATGAGTAAGTCAATGAACAGTGCCCCTCCTTTCTTTCCTCCCTTCCTCTTCCTTCCGCTGGTCAAACTCAGGACCCGCCCCACTCACAGGGGCCAGGCTCTGCTGCCTGCCCTGCGGTGATCTCAGGGGCTGCTGCTCTCGGGCCTCCTGCATCCTGAGTCCACCGGTTCTCCCACTCTCCTTGGTGCCACTTTCCCCACGTGGTGCTCTCCCAATCCTCTGCTCGCTCTCCCTCCTCCGATCGCCCACCTTGGGTCCCTGGCTCCTGCCCTCTCCCCTCTCCAAGTATCCTGGGCTTCTTCCTCTGGCTGCTTCTTTCATGTTCCTGGGCTGCCTCATGCCCCACTCGCATCAGCATTTATAAACGGCCCTATGCGTGAGTGGGACGCAAGAGAGTTGGTGCCTGTTGTTCCACAACAACAATTTCATTGGGGGAAGGTGGGCTATTCATCCCAGTTGCAATAAAACCCTCTCCCCTGGCCGGGCGAGGTGGCTCACGCCTGTAATCCTAGCACTCTGGGAGGCCGAGGCAGAGGCGGGCAGATAGCTCAAGATCAGGAGTTCGAAACCAGCCTGAGCAAGAGCGAGACCCCGTCTCTACTAAAAATAGAAAGAAATTAATTGGCCAACTAAAAATATATAGAAAAAATTAGTCGGGCATGGTGGTGCATGCCTGTAGTCCCAGCTACTCAGGAGGCTGAGGCAGGAGGATCGCTTGAGCCCAGCAGTTTGAGGTTGCTGTGAGCTAGGCTGACACCACAGCACTCTAGCCCAGGCAACAGAGTTGAGACTCTGTCAAAAAAACAAACAAACAAACAAAAACCAAAAAACAAAACCCTCTCCACCCCACATAGGATGCTCACTAGAGGGTTAGGGTGGCCAGATGTGGAGGGGTGGGGAGCCTTTTTGGAAACCATGTTATCAGCCTGGAGGAAAAGACAGCTTGGGATAAGGAAGATGGTGTCTGGAGCTCTGGAACTTCCCCTTTCCTGTTGACCAAGGCACGTCTACACAGACAAATGTCCTCTACGGAACGTGTTCTCCTTCAATGCTTCCTACAGTGTTCATTTCAGCTCAATCCCTCCAACCCTCCCGACTCCACCCCTCCCCGCTCAGGCCTGGACCACTGCGTAGTGACTCCACTCTCCAGAGCAAGCAGTTACAGGCCCCTCCTCTTTGGCAGGGAGGAAATGGGAATTGTAAAATTACCAGTGTCTTCAGAATTTAGATATTCACATTCATACACGCTCATGCAGAGAGGGTATTTGGATCTCTGCTTCTAAACACTCTGAGAAATATTACATTGTGCTTTTGTAGCCACAGGCAGCCGGTGTTTGCTTCCCTTTGGATCCCATGGTATGTTTGCATAAGCTAAATGGTCATTTAAAAAGCGATCTTGGCCAGGCGTGGTGGCTCAAGCTTGTCATCCTAGCACTTTGGGAAGTAGAAGCAGGAGAATCTCTTGAAGTCAGGAGTTGGAGACCAGCCTGAGCAGCATAGCCAGACCCTGTTTCTACAAAACAAAAACAAACAAAAATTATCTAGGCATGGTGGCAGGTGCCTGTAGTCCCAGCTACTTGGGAGGCTCAGGCAGGAGGATCCCTTGAGCTTAGGAGTTTGAAGTTGCTGTGAGCTATGATTGATGCCATTGCACTCTAGCTGGGGTGACAGAGTAAGACCCTGTCGCAAAAAAAAATAGTTACCTTTCCCTCTGCAGGCTTGGGGTAGGGAAGGGATCATAAAGTGTGTTATACATCCTTGTCTTGGTTACTGCAACCCGGTTTTGTATGAGGATGTTTGATCATCTTTAGCGGGATTTTTTTCTGGGCAGCCATTGTCGGCACTTTGCAGTGAAGACCCAGGGCAGACCTGGTTGCTGTGTTCCAGTGTTGGAAAGGTTGTGATGGAGGAGTTGAAATGCAGTGGCTCTCAGAGGAGCCAGAGAAGAGGGCTGGGGCTCGGCAGGGCAGGGCCTGCTCCCGAGAGCTGCCACCTGGGAGCAAGGGGGCCTTGTGAACAGGAAGTGTGCAAGTAGAGGCAGGGACCTTTGCCAGGGACGAGGGACTCCCGGATTCTGAGAGAGGGAGGTGGGACTCATCGGGCCGTCCTGGAAACACCTAAGACCTTCTCTTTGGCCCTAAGAGGAGGCCATTAGTTTGGTCTCATTTTGCAAGGGCAGAGACTGAGGGCCAGTGAGATTTAGGAGCTCGGCCAACTACACCTCCTGCCCCTGCCCCTCCCACTGCCAACTTCACATGCGGCTGTGTTGGGATTCAGGCCAAGATATCTGGCCTCTCTCCTTGCACCATACCACGGCTGGTCCGGATGAGTCCCTAGGGTCCTTCAACTACGAGAATCTTGAATTTCTCACGTTGGGGCTTCCTCCTGCAGTTAAGTAACTTCTCACTGAATATGAAATGACTTAGACTCATAATTCCTGGACATCGATCCACTGCATGATGTGAGAAATAAAGATCCTGCTGTACATTTTCACACTGTTATGTTTATTCAATTTAAAGGACTATCTTTTATTCTGAGACTAGATCCTTCCTTATTTTTTGGCGTTGGCATCTTCTTCATTTTATGAAATGATCACAATGGAAGAGGATCATTGGTTGTGTTAATATTTGCACTTGCCAAGAAAAAAGCTGGCCACTGTCTGTAGCTATCTGTCTGTCTAACTGTCTATCTAAATTGCAATGGCCCATGAAATCCCAAAGAACGGGGACCAGTAATTTCTTTGACTGACTTGGGAGGAAGGATGGGCAGGCAGGGCTGCATTTCTAGGCGGAGGCTGAAAGAGAAGCAGGTCTCTTCCCCTGATGTGCAGAAGGTGGCCTTACTTGGAACAAGGATCATTGCAGATACAACTAAGGTGAGGATCTTGAGATAAGAACATCCCGAATTGGAGTAAGTCCTAAACTCGGTGGCCAATGTCCTTATAAGAGGAGAGGGCACTTGGGCACACGGAGTTAGGGTAAGGCTGTGTGCAGAGGAGACAAGAGTGAAGAGAAGCTTTCGCAAGCCAGGCCGCGCGGGCGGCCGCTGTAGTCTGGGGCCCAGTGTGAGATGTTTTCTCCCTCACAGCCTCCGGGAGGACCCAACCCCTGCTGACACCTTGGCTTTGGACTTCTGGCCTCCAGAAATGTGAGAGGGTGAACTTCTGTTGTTCTAATTCACTACGTCTGTGGTCCTTTGTCTCGGCAGCCCTACAGAATGGATGCAGTCAGCCTCCTCTAAGGGCCTGCACCCCCGAGGGGGAGGAGGACGGAGGGCCTGAGAGCCACGTCCGGGCAGAGTGAGGAAGGCTGGAGTCACAGGACGTCCCGCGCTAACCACAGCTTTGAATGTCTGCTGGCCTTCAGGACGGCAATCTGAGAAGGCTGGGTGGGTCCTCTCCCCCTGGATGTCAGGTTTTGGAGTGTGCGAAGGCTAACTTTCTGGATGGAGACTTATTTCTAGTGCACGACCAGGGCGAGCAGGCTGTGGCTGTCGCTAAGGGGCAGGCCTGCCTGGGACCGTGACATAGCGAGAAGGAAACTCCACGCGAGACCCTCGCAAACCTGACACCTACCAGGAGAAGTCAGACACAGAACGAATACATGCTATGTGGCTCCATTTACATAAAATTCAAAACCATGTAAAACGGCCCGTACCCGGAGAGGCCAAGACAGTGGCTGTCTTTGGTGGGGGTAGCGAGCAGAAGGGGACACGGTGGGGATGCCTGGGGTGCTGGCAGTTTTCTCATTCTTAGCCTGGCAGCTGGTTGTGAGGGTGTGCGCCAGGGAGTGGCACACTCGTGTTGTGACCACTCTACTGTGTGTACATTCTATGACAATAAAATGCTTAAACAAAGAGGATTAACAAGATATAATTAAACGCAACATGTTCCTTTCTTTGGATTCTGATTAGGAAAATAAAAAAAAAAAAAAAACAGTTGTACAAAGACCTTTGGAATAATTAGGGAAGTCTGACCATGGACTTGGTGAGTCTTAGTGTGAACCGTGATCCTTTTTCCTTCTCCCTTCCCCACAGATTCATCCCTGGAGATCTGTTCCCTTCCCTCCGCCAACCAGCCTGGTTTCCCCTAGGTGGTTCCTGGCCTTTAAGGTCAAACCCGCTGCATGTACCCATAGTGCTAAGATAATGAAGAGGCAAACTCTTTTCATTATCTTTCATTTCAAAGGGGTGTTCATAGCAAAATTCGTTTCTACCTCCCATTTTTGGTGGATTCTTTTTCTGTTGTGTTACAATTTTAGTTCATATGTTTAACTAAAAATATGTATTCAGGGCCTTTTCTATGCCAAACAGGAAGCTGAGCACTGCATATGCTAAGAGAAGAGGACACAGGACGACACATGTCAGATCTCTGGAGCTCACGGCAAGGGAGTCGGACTCAGGGGGAAATAGGCATTTTTGGTATAATGCAATGAATGCTGCAATAAGGCCACGTACAGGACACTATAGAAGCACATGAACCCAGTCTCGGTAAGCCTCTCGGTAAACCTCCTGGAAGAACTGAATTCTTAGGGAAAACTGAAGGATTAGCAGAAGTTAGGTAAGGGTTGGTGAGGGAGAGACTTCTAGACAGACAGACATGCAAGTGCGGCTTCTCAGGGTCACACTAAGGATTCGATTTTGCTGCAGACTAGCGTGTGTTGCTTGCTGGGTGTCCAGGGAGGGGAGTGTTGAAATACAAGGCCAGGTCACACAGCCCAGCACCTGTGTCTGTACAGCCTGCCAAGCCAAGAGTGGATTTCAAA